AACCACTGAGTCTGCTTGTTTTCAGTTTGCAAGATATTTTTGATACCAATCTTGCAATGTTCTCCCAATTCGATTTATCCCATCTCCACCTCCACTTTTGCTCGTTGTGACTCTGGCCATTTACCCAACCGCCCAAGGTCACTCTTGGCCAGCATTAGTTTTCAGTTTTAGTTCACATCAGCCGACTGAGTCCTTGAGTTAGTCGGACTTCATGCCCATTGTTCCCTACAAGTTGCGAAAGAATCCTATTATTATTGTTTCATTGAATACTTCCCACTTTTTATGGCACTGTCCACTTTTCGCACAATCCCCACTACCGGAAAATCCCCCAGTCATGCCCCATTCAGACTTTAAACGCATGATCATGCCAGACGATATGCCACCCACAAGTTGGGAATAAGCATTACTATTATCAACTGCTTAAGAAAATTTGGGGTCCTACTGCAACGTAAAAAAATCGCCACAAGCCTCTGGAGGCGCAGGAAAGGACCATAACCTATCCAGAGGTGCTTCTGAAGTCTATTGGTTCCAGACATCAAAATATGGAGTAAGACGTTGAAAGATTATGATCATCCAAACTATTGGGCGTGAGTCTTTTCGAATAGTTTTATATACTCACTAACCGAGAAATTTGGCTATCACGTTCTTGTCTACACGTCTATTGACGATGATCTGCAGGCAGACCAATACCTGACCCCTGGCAGACGACCACCAGAATATCTCAAAAATACCGGTCTAAATTGTTCTTTTTTGGCACAATTTGTCACCTTATTTCCAAGCTTTGTCATGGTTGCCGGACAGAAGCGTCATTCCCAAGAACTCCTTTTTAAGGCCTACATATGACGCGAAGTGTGCGAGCACCCAAAGTTGTGGTTAGTTGCCGGAAACCACCTCTCTTCTAGACCGCGCAAGGTTGAGCGCTTGGTGAAGCAATCTCGATCCTCGTTTGGCTGTTTGTCACTAGGCTTGAATTCGCCACGAAAACTTGCGCTTCTTCCTCAAGTATACCTTGACCCGGCTCAAAATACAAAGTTCAGATGAATCCCATGGGGAACTTGGGAAGAAAAATCCCGCTGTTTGAGTATTATACGCATAAAACCATTTTGGAATTCAGAAATAATTTCACTGATCTCTAAATGGCTAGCCCCGTGAAAGTAAGTACTGTTGCTTCTCTAATGGATAAGGGCATACCGTTGATTCCTGTTTCTAAAGCGCACATTCTAAGCTCTAAGTGGACAGCGTATCAGTGAAAGCATTCAAGAGTTTTTATTAAGTTCTTGTTGACTCTGACCAGAACAGCCTATTCTGCACACTTCTGCCATTTGTCAGCCGCGTTCCCTAGATATTCGCACAGTGAGGACTTGAAGTAACCACCACTCATTCAAGGAATGTACCGAATAACGGGTGTGTTTGCAGTGACATGCTTTTGGCATGTAATATGGGATGTAATATAAGGTCGACCTGATTGGGCGATCAGTATTCGCACAATGGAACTGAATTTTCGAAAGCCACGACGTGTCTCCGACGGGCGCAAAGAGACATGCAATCGAGTTCAGTGCAAGAGTCTAAACTTTTGAGCCCCATCTAGGCATCCAGTGGTCTCAGAGGTGCTAGGATAGTATTTCACCAAACGTTTTCCGCCAGAGGTAAAAATATGAGAGTAGATTAAGTTGTTTTTTTGGTTTGAGCGCATGCGCAACAAAATGCAATACATTGGCGTAGAAGGTTTTATTCCACCTTCGAATATTTTGCAGCTAAGAGCATTGTGCGGCCAATGAACACCACCTGATTGTGATGATAATGCTGAGCTGCCAAAGGACTGCGGAAGGTGCTTTCAAAATTTGATCGGTTGTGTACGTCGTTCCCATAAGAAATCGGAGTTTTAGGACCATGAAGTTACTTTTTCCGTATAGCTTTTCCGTTATTCTAGGTCATGAACCCCCCAGTATTATGCTGACAAAGAACGAAAGTGAAGAAACCCTTGGTTTTGGTTCAGTCGCTCGACGACAGTATTTATTGTGGACAGTTGACGGCGTTTGGGAAAGTGCCTCGGAAAGTTTTGGAATGTAATGGAGTCATGCACAGTTACCGTCGTATCATTGAAACTAGTCAAATCCGCCTGAAACATGAAGAGTTTCTGGTTCATAGACTATCTTGCTGTTAGATTACAACACCTACGGGTAGTGGGCTACATAACCGAAAGGTTTACCCCAGGGATGTTTGGGTGACCACTCTGCCCTGGGAATCTTTTTCAGGATTTTCAGAATAACAGCTCCTGGCTCTGTCCCAACATCTGTTTTTTAAAGAGACGTACTATAAGGTACTTGACACCATTTTTTTGTTTTCGTGCCTTGAACTAACCCCTTTTTAGTGAATAATGTATATCAGACACGATTTGCTCTTGAGATTTCAGTGCTTCAGTTGACTCAGTGTACCCAATTCAAACGCATTCACTATTTTGACTCACAGCCGTTGGATCGGTCATTTTCTCTGCAGGATGAAGTAGGATTTTGTATAACTTTGTCTGCGAAGATCCTTTTCAGACATTTGCGGCCATGTAAGGAAGGCCAGTTGGTGCACCGGTTACGCGCATTGCCTAAGGTAGCAAAGTTCATGGATGGTCACACTGGCCATCACGCGGTGCCCAACGAATTTCGGTGTGCATGAAGATGTACCAGCCAGACGCGGTTCTACACCGTTCGGCTCCTTGTGAAGAGTTTCCTTCCATAATTCTTCCATCCTTTATTTTTCCTGCTCTGCTAGGGGGCGTAGATTTTCCATGTGCAAAGTCCAACAGACGGTGTTTTTTGTGGGCATACAGCACCAGACGTGTTGCTTGATGTTAATTTTCAATTTTACTGCTGTGTAGAAGTTCCATTCGTTTGATATTTCTGGCGTTAAATATATTAAGTAGTGCTGATTGAGCAACCCCTGCGGCCAGAAATATCCGGTCCTCGGAGTTATTTCTGAGGAAAGCACCGCATGTATATCCCCTATTTCGATGGATAGAGTTTTCAGTCAGGCAACGTTTTCAGGTCCATTACTCTCTGTCTCATTTTGTTAAGTTCACTTGAAGGTCAGCGATATTTACGCTGCAAGGAAGCCAAGACACACATTCATTTCTCCAACTTACTCCCGTGTACGCAGGGGCCTTTTTTAATTTTACTGTCATGTTATAACGTTTGGAAGCTTTCATTGTCTATGTTCTTCAGTCTCTGGTTTTCATTCGTGTTTATTCTCTACTTTTAACGGTCAACATTGCTGGTGTTTCGGTTGGACCACATCTGCAGGAAGAAATTTCTGCCAAACGACAAGTGCTGCTTTAGTACCACCTCAACTCCACCTCTTTGTCGACTGCCTCGTTTATTTTTGGGTTTTCAATAGGTTATAAGTTCGTGAGATCGTCGGCGCTGGAGCTTTAGGTAACTGCGTGGGACTAACAAACCAGACATTGAACCTTTGACCTTTGGCACTTCAACCTTCTTAACTACTGAACTGATTTCAGTAAAAACAAGACCTTGACTTCCTAGTGGGCCAGATTTTGGCCCTGCTTGAATTCAAACCCAGAACCAACGGCCAAGGCTCAGACCCATAACTAAGAAAAGACTGTCATACAGTTGTGGTGCAAATGTTGATAGAAAAGCCCTAATCTGCAATGACCTATCAACCTTTTCTCAGTGCTTCCCAAGGTAACAGAGGCGGGTATCACCCTTTCGTCAGGCTCTCGTCGGGCTCTTAGTGTGGCCTTCCTCGTTCCACTGGGATTGTATCTGACGGTCGCCGACAGTGCTTCTTGTGAGCCTGCGTTGTGAACTTTCTCCAGAAATAGGCAAATGGTCAGGAAATAGAAGGCCCCTGTACGTAGAAATCCCGGAGGTCGTGTGGGTGCGTGATGTGATTTATACCGCCAGGAGCATCAAGTCAGTGTTAGAGGATTGAGCGATATTACTGCATATACTGAATCCAACTATCTCTTCAGTGTAGATCTGCTTCCGGCTGTCGAAGAGTCGGTAGGTTGCTCACTGAAGCATACGCCTAAATATTTACTTGTTATAGCCAAAAGATGCTTTTCACCCGTTGCAGGCAGTCTGTGTGTTTGTGTGGGTGACCTTAAATGACCCGCTGTGAGTTTACTGTCCATCTGGTGAGCTAAAAGTATATTGCCAAGGCAACATTACTGGATTATTAAATGAGCGAATAGATGAAAAAAATAACGTAATGTGTATTTGACTGCATGCCGTCTGAACTGAAGTTGCATTGCATT